TAAGTATAATATAATTACTACATGTCTAATTAGGGTTGGCGCAACCCCAATAGATAGTAATATTTCGGATAGCTTATAGCTATATCTGTGGTTGTCATACCCACATTGGTATAATAAGTAGTGGAGACAACGACATATAGGCGTTTTGTACAGCAAACTTAGTGAATGTTGCAACACAAAACAATGTAGATGCCCCTACTATTTATACGGCAACATTTTAATTTTAGTTATTTTTGTCTTAGCCGGTCTTTCCGTGTACTCAAATGCATGGTAAAATTTCAAAAAAGTCTCATAAAATTCTTCGAAATGCCGTGTTGTCCCACAATTACATGATTTTCAGGGTAATTTTTAAAAGAAAGTTCCCTCCGTGTAGCATCGCGAGAGTCGTAAATCGTAATTCGACGCTGATTAGTCGACGCCACGATACAGTCAATCGTATAGAACCGGCTCGAGAGGCTCAAGTATTTTCAGCCTTGCGCCGGATGACAAACGGCGGATCGTGGACCTCGCGTCGCGCGTGAAAGCACGTGACGTGTGGGAAATATTTGGCATATACGCCGCGTATTCCAGCCTTGCTCATTCTGATGTGTTCCTGACGCTCGACGCGTCTTCCGCATATGAGGCACCGGATAACGAAGCGATTTATCGCGCGCGACGGGTGTCGCGTGCTAAGCCAATTCGAGAGACGTGTCGTCCCTGTTAAACGCGAGACCTCACGTTTTTTCCGAGCTCGACGAGAGCGTCGCACCGAAGGGTAGAAAATACACAACGCATCTGTCTGACACATGGCTTTTCCCATACGTGGTTCTAATATTATAGGAAGCTCTAACAGAGAGGAAAACACGGGGTTTTAGTACTGTGATTCTAAACACATTTAATGATAAATGTAACATACATTTAATTATACACGGAGTGAATTTTTTCTTAAAATGTATCTTGAGAATCATGTATATATAATCGTGAGACAACATGGCATTTTGAAGAACTGTATGAGAGTTTTTTGAAAGTTTACCATACATTCTACTAGTTGGTTAGTATACATTTTACTAGTAGAATGTGTGGTAAAATTTCAAAAAACTCTCATACAGTTCTTCGAAATACCACGTTGTCTCACGCTTACATTATTTTCAGGACAAATTTTAAGCGAAAATTCTCTCCGTGTATATTTAAAAAAGTACAGTACTCATTCATATGTATACATATATATGATAATCGTATATTATTTATATTTACATAAACATACATTTCGATTAATTATGCAAGGTGTTATGTAATATCCGCCTCGCCTCTTATTTACGGATAGAGCGGACTAGACTGAGTCGAAAAGTCCTCTACCATTTTGCAATTTTCGCACTAGCTAACGAGTTGTTACTTAATTATTAAAAATCGTTATCTTAGCCCGGTCTACCACCCAATTCAAGCGCGTGGCGAGATGCCGGCCGTCATGTGATCGGCGTTGCTAGGCGCGCGGGAAGTTTATGATCGCGTTCAGTGGAAAAAGTTGCTGTGCAACTGTTGTAAAACTCTTGAATCTGATTGGCGTATGCTCTTAATTATGGCAAAGTCTAAGAGCATACTCCAATCAAATTTACGAATTTTACTTCAGTTGCAAAGTAACTTTTTCTGCTCCCCGCGCGCCTAGCAACGCCGATTATGGGACGGCCGCATCCTATATTGGGCGGTAGGCCGGGTTAAGACAGCGATTTTTAATAATCGTTAACTATTGCGAAAATTGCAAAATGGTACAGAACTTTTCGACTCGGTCTAGTCCGCTCTATCCGTACATAAGAGGTGAGGCGGATATAATATAAATAATCGAAATATCCAGTGATATATGTATAATTAACAAATACATATTTAAATTATATTAAATAACTATTATAAATAACACAAAACCCTCGCGATTTCCTGAAGTCACGTCGGCAGAAGAGGGAAGAAGGCCTTCTGAAAATTATTTTCGTTCCCAGCGGACTTATTTCATCAGAATCCGCGGCTATCCGCGTATCGATCAAGCGGTGGACCTGTTGCGCTCGTCGAGAGCAGAGAGCGTGAGGCAGGTCAGTGCTCACGAGCGGTGAGCCTGTGCTCCGTCTATCAGAGGCGCATGAGGGGGCCTCGCGTCCGCCGCCGCGGCGAGCGCGAGGTCCCTCCTCGCCGCATGCGGCGTACGCACGATCTTACACGGTCCGCGAAGACGCGAGGTGACGCGACGCGCGATAGGTGGGGTACATCGGCCGCGGCGGCGGCGGCGGTGGCGGCGGTGGCGGCGGCGGTGGCGGCGGCGGCGGCGGTGGCGGTGGCGATGGCAACATATCCACCTTCGCCGAGATCATACTGCTCGCGTAGAAAGGGAGTAACGCGGAGTGGCCGCGCTGCGCATCGTTCGCCCCACTACCTCGGGGACGCGCTCTTAAACATTCAAAACGCGCCAAACGCCGAAGAAGCGCGACATGCGCACGGCAATGCGCCCGACGGCGACGAGCGCCGCGAGACGGTGCGCGGCACGTGCGCGACGCGCGAGCAACGGACGCGATGCGCGTCCCTCCTGGGGGAGGGGAGTAGTCGCGAGGTGGCCGCAAGTTGCCCGCGGGGGCCGAAAGGGAGGCTTTTCGCGTCTCGGCGAGAAATGCGATGGGATCCCCCGATAACCCCGAAGGGAGCGATCCCTTTTTTTCGTCCCGGGCGAGATAAGGGGAAAAGAGCGCAGTTTTGCGAGCCACCCGAGGGTGCGCTTCTTTTTGCGCTGTTCTAAAATCACCTCTTCGCGGGCAAATACTTCATCAGGATTGTAGCAATGTGCTACAGGCGTTCAACTCGGATACCCTATTTTCGGGTTGCGAACCGGTCACGTCGCGGGTACACGTCGCTGGGCGATGATAGCCTGCGTGCATAATATCGTCGCGAAAGCGAGCGACGCGGGAAGCCGCAGAAACACCCCGGGAAGAAAGCAGTATCGTGTAGATACCACTTTATGGGACTGAAGAAGCGCGACTGGCGACTGTTAAAAATTCTCTCGGCGAGCGCTCGGTAAAAGTTCGGTTCCCCAAACTGATCGTCGCTCGATCGCAACGTGATTGCGCCGATTTTGACAATTCGAGGAACGTCGATGCATCAAGGACGAGCGCGAGAAGCGCGATATAACGACGCGAGAATTCGCGCTTTTCTATCCTTTTTTATCTTTTCCGCGCGTTCGCTTACCGCGGCCGCGCTACGTGTCTACATATATCTATCGACGTTTTCACTTTCATCGCGCTCCAATGTATAGTCGATGGTCCCGACCTCAGACTTTGTCGGTTCTCGGCTGCCAGGCGAGCAGAATGCACCAGGAGCCGGGGGATCCCGCGACGTCGCCGGGGCGTTTCGCGCTCAATCGCCCCGGCGCCGGCGATACCGCCGCGCGACTCTCGAAACTCGGGCGAGTCGCGCGAGGGTCAACAATCTCTCGACTCGCGAACGACGGTCGTTGATCGGCGTTGTCGATACTCCGCAGTCGAGGAATTGACGCAAAACACTGTCGATTGCGTAAAGTCGACGGCGGATTAGGGCATCAGGAACGCGCAGAAGGCGCGCCGCCGACGGAGAAGCGGGAAAGGCCACCGCGAGAGGATTATTTGTCTCGAGTCTCTCGCGGTCGGAATTAATATCTTGTATTAAAGATGGAAAATATTGCAGCTTAAAACGATATACATGAATAAAATATAAGTGTAAATTAATAATTAGGAAAACGAACGACTCAAATGGTCGGTTTGATAACACAGGCCGACAAAGAAAAGCTTTTTTTCATACCCAAAGATGAGACTAGGTAAATCCCGAATGGACACGAATCCATTGTCCTTTCTTCCCTGGCAAGTCAGGAATGTCAGGATTCGTGTTTGGCACACGAAAAACCTTCGGGGTCACCTAGTCTGATCTTTGGGTATAAAATTTGTCGGCCTGTATCGAGTATCTCTTGTGGAACGCGACGTTACAAAAATTTGTGGGAAGCTACCCATACAGCACGCATGTCTGAAAGGCCTCTTTAAGACGTCTTTAAGTTGTCTTTTAGATATGTATGGGCCTGAGCAGAATGGACAGCCTTAAGACAATGTTTTATGTTTTAAGCCTTTGTCTTGAGGTAACGCACAATAACTACGTGGGTAGGCTGAAAAGTAATGCACACATGCTTGTAGAACACGAACAAAAACAAATAGCGAGATCGGGAAAAGTGTACATTAAAGTACAATTCTTAAGCTTCAAAATCATATATTTATTTTTCAACATAGTCACCGTTAAGGCTAACACATTTCTCCCAACGTGTAACAAGTTTTTTCATTCCGTCACTGAAAAATTCTTCCGACTTTTCTCGAATCCAGGACTTGACAGCTGTCTTCACCTCATCGTCCGAGGTGTAATGATTACCCTTGAGGTCTCTCTTGAGTAGAGGAACAAAATAAAAATCACAAGGCGCAAGATCGGGGGTGTAAGGAGGGTGTGGAATCTGTTCAAACTTCAGGTTTCGCAGAGCCTCTGCAGTTGCGCGTGAGGTGTGTGGACGAGCGTTGTCATGTTGCAAGACGGTAAATTCTTCTCAGTACATACAGACTCTAAAACACCCCCGACGCGACGTCGAGTTTGTCGTGTTAGAGGCAGCCTGGAGCCAATGCAACTGCAGAAGCTCTGCGAAACCTGAAATTTGAACAGATTCCACACCTTCCTTACTCCCTCGATCTTGCGCCTTGTGATTTTTATTTTTTTCCTCTACTCAAGAGAGACCTCAAGGTTAATCATTACACCTCGGACGATGAGGTGAAGGCAGCTGTCAAGTCCTGGATTCGAGAAAAGTCGGAAGAATTTTTCAGTGACGAAATGAAAAAACTTGTTACACGTTGGGAGAAATGTGTTAGCCTTAACGGTAACTATGTTGAAAAATAAATATATGGTTTTGAAGCTTAAGAATTGTACTTTAATGTACTTTTTGCCCGATCTCGCTATTTGTTTTTGTTCGTGTTCTACAAGCATGTGTGCATTACTTTTCAGCCTACCCACGTATCTTATGTCTTAAGGGTACAAGACAGCCATTCTGCCTTATGTTTAAAAGACGACTTAAAGACATCTTAAAGTTGCCTTTGAGACATGCGTGCTGATTGGGTAATCTCATTGTCAGCCAATCTTAAACTTGAATAAATGTTAATTATTTAGAGAACACTTGATAAACGATATCTTATAATTACATTATTACAATTTTTTACAAGTATACTTCACCGCTTCAAATAAATTCCCACATTCTTTTGTCGCGTTTACAGCTGTCTCGAGTTTATTGTAACGCGATACTCACTGATTAAGATTGTCCATCATCTTGTAATCCCCACCGGACGTATTGACCTTGGAGATCAGGCCGGGCTGCAGTTTGTTCATGAGCATGCAGAGCAGAACGCCATCCCTCAGGGCGTCTTCGTAACTTACGCCTGTAAGAAACATGCGAGTATGTATAACGTTACCTATTCGTACCGTTTCGAATAAGGCTGATCTTTGTAACTAAAAAGAAGAGTGAATAAATGACAAAAATAATAAATCCAGAATATCTTAATAGACGTATAAAGAATCACCTTAAAAAAATAATCTTTTTTTAAAAAAAAGATGAAAAAGACGCCAAGTATAAGCGCCATCCAATCAAGAATTATACAACGTAATCATTTGGACATATTTTGTTCAATTCAGAACATCTCAATAGACGTAATAGATGTAATGAAGGATAATTATAGACAAGTATAATATAGCTTATAGCAATCTCTCGCAGAGCAATCTCTCGAAACTTAATAATTGCAATTGCAAGATAATTGTAAGAGATAAATAAATGTGTTTCGCGTCGATTAATCGCGATCGTATGATATCGCGAGATATCCCTCCCGAGGAAGATACCTGGCCAAGATAAGCGAGGGAAAGAAGCTGAAACCCCCGGCGCGCTTTATCCGCGCTTCGCTCATTAAAGAGACCCGTCGCCGCTTATCGGTCCGCATTTGCGCGGAGAAAGCCCTGAGAGAAAAGGAGAGCGATTTCGGCCGGTGGCGAAAAGAATGTTGATGACCACGGCAGCACCAGGATCGCAGAAACGATCGCTCGCCCCTCGCCGAAAAGCGACCACGCGGCGGTTCCGGAGCAGGAGGGCCGGGGGCTTGCGCGATAGAGCGCCGTGGAGCCGATGCGAGCTTTGACTTTCGCGCGACGGACCCGGGCCGGCGCGGCGCGGCGCGGCGTTCCATCAACGTCGAACTCTCACCACGTGCTTTCCCTGGCACCGGCCATTTTTTCGCTCGATGCACCGCGCGCTGAGTGGATACCCGACCGCCCCTTCCGTCATCCGTCGCCGCCCCTCTCCTCCTCGTCGCGGCCCGCCCAGTGTCGGGGGGAATCGAACGGATTCACCGCGAAATAATAACCGCGAACGGCGACGCGCGCGGGTCGCCGGGACGTGCAACCAGCGCTCGCTCATGGCACCCCATTATGCCAAGAGGCGAGCCAAGGGGGCATGGCATTTTTTGTCACGTCGGACGAAGAATCAGGAAAGGCCGGTCGCGTCTTGCGGGCGCGCGCACTTTTTGCTCGCTTTGATCGGCGGGCGCGACGCCGCCGCACGCCGCCCGCCCGCCGCCGCCGCCATCGGCGTCTTCCCCGTCGGTGGCTGGTGGCCTGCGGCGCGACCGGGCGTCTCGCCGCGACGCGCTGCGCGGCCCGTCGCCATTCGAAAGACACAACGCGTCTCGGACTCCTAGGGGCGCAGCCTGCCGCAAGAGCTGTGCGTATCGCGTCGCACTGTCATTGCGTTTTTTTTGTCGCGCTGCCTACCGCCTCCCACCCCCGCCCCCCACCTCCCACGTCAGCGATACAACCGGTGTATCGATGTATCCAATCTATCGGCGCGCGACGCTGCCGCCGCCGCCGCCGCGCCGTCGCTCCCACCGCCGTCGCCGCGGCAAATTGTATCGACGCGCGGCGGCAATCCCGAAGCAACAGTTGGCATAACTCCCCCCTCCCCCTTGTCTGCGCCCTCGCGCGTTTTCCAATAACCGCGGGAATAAGAACGGATTGAACAGATTAATCGCGCCGACGCGCCTCCCCCATTCGCACCTGTCGCGCGTAATTAGCGGCAGCTCTACAAGCGGACGTGAAATTGCTAATGCGGACCTACGAGACCCCGACACATCGGGACGCAGAAATGTTCCGTCACGCTCGTCGCGATAATTCAGATAAGATGCGATAATATAGCTTCGCGGATGACTCCGGGTCTTCCCGTATAAGCTTCTGAGCAAAAAGATTGTCGTATTCACGATTCCGTAGTAAGCCAAGTCGATGTCGGCAGTCAGCGCAGAAAGAATTGTCATAGACGTATGTCGCCTTGCATGTGCGACATACGTCTACGACAATTCTTTGTACGTTGACTTTCGTCATCGACTTAGGTCTTACGACTCGTAGACGGTTACGACAATCTTTCTGCTCAAGCCCTAAAGCCCCTGAGCAGAAAGATTGTCGTAACCGCTTGCGAAAAAATCGTAAACGGTTACGACAATCTTTTTATTCAGGCCCTAAGCCCCTGAGCAAAAAGATTGTCGTATTCGCGATTCCGTAGTAAGACAAATCGATGGCGGCAGTCAGCGCAGAAAGAATCGTCGTAGACGTATGTCGCCTTGCAATAAATGCGATATACGACAATTCTTTGTGCGTTGACTTTTGACATCGACTTAAGTTTTACGACGGACTCATGGACGTTTGCGACAAAATCGTTAACGGTTACGACAATCTGTCTATTCAAGCCCTAAGCCTCTAAGCAAAAAGATTGTCGTATTCACGATTCCGTAGTAAGACAAGTCGATGTCGGCAGTCAGCGCAGAAAGGA